TTCTGCTCCCCAAAAAGAAAAGTTATCTTTTATTTCTTATGTATATTGTTTATTATTATACTAATGGTAATGCTTTTGAAATGATTAATCACATGAAGCGAAACACGAGGGATAAGGCACTTCCTTAATATCTCTAAAGATGGTTGAATTTTCATCATTGTGACACCAAAGTAATCAGTTTTATGCCTACTAAAGTCTAAAAATAGTAATTTGAAAGTCAGCTGTAATGTGGTTAAAAGAAAAGACAAAAAAAAGCTTACTTTTACAAACCCTCGCTTCTGTGCTCCATTTCTGGTTTTCGCCACATGTAGAAATGGCACTTCCCATGAGATAATAATCCTCTATGCAGGAGTATTGGACTCTGCTTCCAACCATGTAAAATTCTTCAGGATTCTATTAAAAAAAAGCAAAAAAACAACTATCAGTATTTGAAACAATACTTTAAACATAACATTAAAGTTAGCAACACTGTTAACCACCCCTTAGTGGCGGAGTTCCTCAAGGCACTATTATCGACCCCATATTCTTCTAAAATCATAATTGTGAATTTAAGGTCCCTCGTACTGAAATTGATAGTTTTAATTCTTTGGAGAATTAAAACTCCAAAGACTTAGACAACTTTTAATGTCGTTTTGTATACACAGAGTTTACACAAAATGAAATTTTGTTTAGCACAGCTTTTAAACAATAGATGCGCAGCAACTTAGCAGTGAAATTAACATTTCCATTCCATAAAGTGCAGCAGTGATCAAATGTGAACAGTGTTGAAAACATTTATTAAATAATAACTTTAAAAGTACATATTTAAATTATATGTCTGTGCATCTCGATAAAATAAGGTTCTATACACCAAGCATCCGTCCTGATTGTGTTTTGATCATTCTTTTTGGGACTAAATAAAATTCTAGCACCAGGTACAATGAGGTTCGTTAGTGAAAAGTACCTTTTCACTAACGAACTAAGCCAGATTATGTCAACACACAGGCCCAATCCCAAACTGGCCCCTAAAAACTACCCCTAAGCACCTACCCTCTGTTTAGCACTATCCCTTTGTCCAGTGAGTCTGCATCAGTGCAGGCTAAACATTTAAGCCATTTATTACAGTTAATCTTGGACTTTTTTTTTTTAATTATTGTTCCAAATCCGCTTGGAGCTGCTAAGTGGCTTTAGCTGCATTACTCCTTAGTTTACCCCATGGCTCTAATGAGCAGTATTGTACCTTCTTTGTTATTGCAAATATACACAAAGGGCTTTATTTAATAACACTGAGCAAAAACACAAAGCATAAAACACATAAATAACAGATAATAGACCAGTAGGAAGTTGCGATCTTTCAGAAAATATTTTGCATGCAACCAGAGAAAGCTACTAGCATACACATTTTGGAAATTCCATATAATGTGACCATATATCTTTAATAATTGTAAAAAAACAAAAAAACACATTGAGTCAGTTTATAGTTCATTTTTAGTTTCTTTCTTTGTTATGTATACAATTGGAGAAGCAAAACATTTGGAAAAAAAGAGGTAGGCACAAAAACTGTGACAGAAAAACTACTTGAAAAAGAACAAAGTCTTTGAAGAGCGCAGACCTCGGCTAAGCACCAAATTTTTTTATCTCACAGTGCGAAGTAACGCTATCAGCTGTAGTTTTGACATCAGTGTAACTGATTCCAATCTTTAGGGGTGTTTTTTGCCATTGCTGGTTTTCCGTCCCTCATTTACAAGATAAAAAATACTCAGTGGTAAATGGTACCCAGGCCTAAATTCAACAAAAAGGGAAAAATGAATTTATGGACTATCGATTCCCACCGTCCCTTTGCATACTTTCTCCTGTTTCTAGCCTCTCTCGGCTCTGACCCTGATTCTGTTCCATGACCAACAAGTTCTGTTTTCCCTCTGGGATTCCAAGATAGAGACTAGGGCTCTAAGTGAGTTCCTGTCCCTCTGTCCCAATTTGTCCAATTTCCATTAAACGGCACAAGTGAGATCACCACTGAACCACTTTTCAGAGCATTCTTAACCTCATGGTCTTGGTGCTGATGGTTGGTTTTTCCATCTGTTCACTTGCAGTGTTGGGCACGTTACTTTGAAAAAGTAATTAGTTATAGTTACTAGTTACTTCTCCCAAAAAGTAACTGAGTTAGTAACTGAGTTATTTCACAATAAAAGTAACTAGTTACTAGTAAAAGTAATTATTGCGTTAGTTTTGCAAGTGTTTGAAATTAATAACTGGGGATGTCTAATTCTGAAATCCTGTGTTTGGGTTGTTATAGATACTGTAACATGTAGCTATATCTGTCTATCTATTCCATCCATCCATCCATCCATATTTCTCTCTTTCTCCATATAGGCTAATGATCGTTCACGCTCTCCGTAGTTCCCCTGTGGCGCGAGAACAGGGCGACTGTTGCGCGCCTTTAGCGAGCATACGCATTTCCTCTCGCTTGCGCGGTGAATCGTGCCGCCGCGCTGTGCGGAGACGCAGGGGAAACCGTATCTGATGGGGAAACACAGTTCGACGTAACACCAGTATTTCCATCTGGAAAGCTCTGTTTTGCCACTGGAGTCCTCCTCACTCTCCATCCTCCCCTCTAGCATGACGCGCGCACGAGTCCTATCATGAAAAAAGGTCAATTGTGCGACCTGAGTAACGTGCAGTAACGGGGTGTCGGCAATTGTAACCGCGTTATAGTTACAGTAAGAGTAATCATTTTGATTACTCGTTACTAAAAAAAGGTAGCGGCGTTAGTAACGCCGTTACTCCCATCACTGCTCACTTGTCTAATTAGCCCTGCGGCTGATTATCGCCAATCTGTTTCACCAGTTTCCCGCAGCTATTTATGCTGCTTACTTTCCTTCCATCAGCATCAGATTTTTTGTGCTGTTGTGAGACTAACTCAGTCATCAAGTGAGTCTC